GGTGTCCAGCAGTTTCACACTCCAATTTCCTACAACAACTCATTTTTAATTACAACTAAGACATATTTTTGCACATAGTATGAGTACATGTGCAAATAAATATGTATATGTATTCAAGTATATATGTATGTATGTTTGTTTTAGTATTTTCAGCACAATCACAGAGCGTGGCAAAAAGCAAGAAAAGCTTCAAAAGTTGCACGATGCAGACAGACAGACAGACGATATAACAAAAAGTTGTCATTAAAGGGAACGCTGACAATGTGTGACAGCGTCAAATTTCAATGCTGGTGCGCTCGTTTTTGTCCACGCCAAGCAATTCATATGCACAACAACAGAAATACATGCAAACACTTTGAAACACATTCATACAAGGCAGTAAGGCACGAGTTTTTAGAAACAGTGGCGAATCGCCTGGGTGGACCACTTTATGTCATTCCAAGTCACCATCGACCATTTTCTAGCCAACAATTACAAGAATATAAATTTCATTGTGTGCGAGTACGAGCATAAAGAGAAATATGCGTGCGTGCCACAAAACAACACAACACAACAGAACATTTTTTAATTGCCTTTAAAGCCACAAAATTCCATAGAAATTCGGCTTTTGACTGTCAGCTTGGAAAATAAATTATTTTTCGGTTTTGATAGCGGTTTTTGTGTAGCGTTTCAGGGTTCTTTGTTGCCAAAATAAAGCCTCACAATAAGCTGCCGGACAAAGCTGTGTAGTTATTGAAAGCGTGTTGGGCCAGTTACTGGTTGCAATTATTACTGGTCGGGCCATTAAATTGATTAACCCTGCAAAGGTAAACAACAGCAGATACCATTTAAAAATAGTTCCTTTTTAACTCAGAAAGTTGCCATTAAAGCTAGAGCTTCTAAATTTTTTTTTCAAAGCTTGTTGAGAAAAATTTTCTTGTACAGTTGTTTTCTTTCTTCTAGCTTACAAGCTTTCATAACTCGATAATGCCAAAATGCACGCGGCAATGATTCTCTCGGTGAACCACATATCTAACATCGCATTCATAAACACCCGCACTCAAAAACCAATTTCAATTCCATTTGCAGTCATAACGGGTGTTTGTATTTCAGCGAATGAAAACTTGTTGTTGCTCTCACTAAAATATTCATGTATTTTATCAAATGCTCACCACTTTTTGTTGTAACCAAGGCAAACACCCGCAGTCTCGGAGATTACGATAATCATAAAACCGATGAAGTAACAGCCATATTTATCTTTATCTCGGCAAAAAACGAAAATTGAATTGAAAAAGATTTGAGGAAGAGGGGGAGTAAGCCAAAAAGTAACAATAGTGAAAATGGAGATGAACTCGGCAATGAATTGGCTAATTCAATCGGACAGCAAACAAGCATCCACAGATTACTCTTTTTTGTCCCTCTGAAGGTGTGTGTATATGTCTGCGTCTGCACAAACTGTTCGTTTTTAATTCCCTACTGAATATATATCGCTTATCGTATGTGTGTATATGTGTGTGTATTCTTGAGGAATGATAATTACCTGCTAAGTAAATCGATTGGGTTTATTAAAAGCGATTTGAGAAAAATGCGCAGTTTTACGAGCTGCCGTTGAAAACTGAAACACACACGCACACATACACATGCATAATCACACATTTCAATAACTATTAGTTGTTTGTTTTGTTCGCGTTTACAATTTCGCTGCGTCAACGCCGGACCTAGCGCCACTTGCCTAACGTCATAAGCAACAACACCAACAACGAACGAATAGTTGCTGTGCGCTCAAGTGTTGCCTTGAAAATCAGCGTAGGAGGGGGAAGCAAGCGGGTGGCCACAATCAATAAGGTGGATTACTTTTACTTTGCTTTCAACAGCGAAGCCTTTTGTTTATACAAATAGTTCGCAGATATATTTAAATATTTGTTTACAAATTTATATTGGTTAATTAGCAAATTCGTATGTAAATAGATCTCCCGGCTCATTTTGTTTTGTTTTGACTTTTATTGCATTTTAAAATTAGGTAATATGTTGCGTTTCGTTGTGAAAATATGATCGATTTTTTTTGCACCAATTTGGTTTATTGTGACTTGATATGTTTCTATTGAACTCCTTTTTGTTGTGATTTAATATATGATATTTATAACATTTATCAATGGATTTAAAAAAAAATATTTTTTAAAAGAAATATTTTGATTTCATTTAACATGTTTTCATCAAATGTAACCTTTCTTCATTTCATTAGTAAAACTTCAAAAGAAATTATAAGATACTTGAATAAATTTATATATAATTTTTTTTTTTTTTTGAGAAGTGATTTTTTTATTCTCATTGATTATTTCTAGTTCATTGCTTTTTTCTTCCCCGCCTTCGATTTCTACTTCCATTTATATCAGCAAGGCACTAAACACAAAAGACTTAAGCAACGAACTCGACTAACTACTTTATGTATTAGCAATAAATAAACATAACAGGTTTTTATAAACTGGTTTTCGGTTCAACATCGTAAAATACTGCGAAGATTTTTTATTTAATTTCAGTACATATTAATTAAGTATTTGGACTTCGAAACAATTTAAAAATTTCTTAAACACAAAGCTGCTGAAGAAGTGCCCATAATTTCTTCTGTAACTGCGCCTGTAAGTATGCAACGATGTCGTTGAAAAGTCATTTTGAAATTAGTAGATTGATACACATTAATTCATAAACAGCTTTTAGGCTTCGGCAGCGCAAAATCAAACGCTGTGCCATTAATTATGTTTGAAAGAATTGAATAGTATATATGTACCTATGTATCTCTTCATATTTTTTCTTGCTTTTTGAAACAGTCCGTTGATTTTGAATACATATGAACTAACGCGTGCAAAGCACAAGTATTTAAACTGAATAAAATGTTGTATAATTTATGGCCGGCTCTCTATTTTTTAGGTTGGCAACGCGGGCACTTTCTCAAAGTCTCATATGTTAAAACATTCAAGTTCAAAAATATCAGCAGAAATAACTGGTCGAGAATATTTTTAAAACCTTGTTTAATTTTGAAATATATAATTTATCAATACAATGACACTCCTTGCCAATCCCCCAATTATATTTGTACAAGTGCGTCCAAAAATTCACACACATATTTAGATTATTTGTTTGAAGAAGCTCGTGTTTGAGGAACCACAAGTTACGTAATAACGAGAACGAATGCCGAAAATAAACCCGTAATTAATAAGTTCCTCCGTCAAGCGTCCAGATGCAAATTTAACACTCAATTGGAGTTAATTAAAAACGATTGCGATTAATTCAACGCTGACAAGCGAAGAGCACACTCATTCGTACGCACTAAGGCATATGCCTGTGCATCGTGCGCATTACATAATAATGCATCCGAAGTGACTCGAGGTCTGATATAGCGTGAGAAAATTACATACAAACATACAAATGTACATCCCCAAATACACATATAGACATTTCAGTGCATTCGTGACAGCGACTCATATACATATGCACAATATTTATGTGTATGTATGTGTACAAGGCAATTGCAATTGAGTAATTAGCTGTGGCACTCAAAACCAAAACATTTCAATTAACAACGGCAAAGAGTACCGAAGCAATCATTTGTCAACACACACACATAATTTAGTAGTGCCTGAGAGAGCAGATACAGGTATTTGAAAGGACCACTGCGTAAGAGATTGTGATATCATTAAGAGCTCAACTGTGTGGATTTGCTTACCGAGCAGATTGCCAAGCTTCCCAAATGTTATTACTTGATTTATTCTAATCGTGGAATTTGGAGCTTTTGACCTTGAATTCACTAACCTAAGCCCCCAAAAAAGGTTAATACTCAATCTCGCTCGGTTATTCAAACGCAAGCGCAAAGCAGTAATGAATTCATTATTGGAAAAATGAAGCTGGCGGCGGGTGGTCGGTAGCAGTCAAGTGCAGCGTTTGTGCCACCAACAGTGGTGTGCTCTTACATAAGAGCTTTCAAAGCCGATAATTTCACACCGAATCATGGCATATAGATTTGAATGTGAGTGTGTAGGTATAGCTAGGCGGGTGCGTGAGTAAATGCGCGCACGAGCGCAACGCCGTGTGAGATACGCCGAAAGCCGCAAGCGCAAGCAATTGATAGCCGCTGTACACACACACACTCTCATATACTGTTATGAACCACAGTTTAACGTTTAAAAAGTGCAATAAAATATTTTTGGTTGCAAGAAAAAATGTGATCACGCAAATAGTTGGAATTATGGAATTGTTCAGCTGAAATGCGATACGACCGACGCACGAGCGCTGTGATGTGACTGGCTGCGGCTATGGCTGCGCAATGTACCTTTGCCAAAGTGGTGCGGTATAAGCGGTGGAACAGTAGGCAATGTTGTTTGCGGTGATGGGTTCAATTGCAGCCAACATTTATACAATAAATCTCAAATTGTACGGAAATGTGGGATTCATTTTTATATTTACATAAATTTGCATCGTTATCGCCATTATTCGCCGTTTCCCTTTCTCATTTGGCATCAACAGTTTTTGTTTATTTTTATGGTTTGATATTCGATTTTTAATTGCACACTTTTTGTTTTGCCGCCCGCCATTCCGCTTCGTTATAGGAAACTTCCAAGGTGTTCATTTGCGAAATGTTTATTGCTTTTCCTCCTTTTGTTCAAGTTTATGACATTTGCTGACAATTATTTCCACCATTATCATCTTTATTGAGATAGTGATTTTTATCACATCTGCTCAGAGATTATGCAAATAATGAAAATTTCCATTTGCTTAAATGCTTTTTCAGTTTTTTTTTCTTCTGGCGTGTTCTTACATAAGTGCTTGTGAAATCATCACACGCCAGAGCGTTGAAAGAATTATGTAATTCTTTGCACTCATTCATTAGTAACAAATTGAAACCAACGAAGACTGACTTATTCGCCACAAATACATATACTAATGAAACCATAGTTTAGACATTCAAACGAATTCTCGCATCTTTTTCTCTTAATGCTTTTTTGAATATAAAATACATTTTCATTTACCTGCTGATTGGATTCATCCTCCATCGCCGGCAGGAGCTTCACCGTGCTGCCGTTGGTCATGTTAAAACTGCCGGTGCTGGAGAGATTCTTCATGTGCGGCGTCGACGCCACAACTGTGTTGTTGTAGTGGAAGTCACGGCTGCTGGCCGCCTCATGGCTGTGATAATCGGAAATAATATCGTTTAGTGTGTTGTTGCTACCGCTAATGGTAGTGCCACCACTAGTGCTCATACGCCCCGAAGCGGCTGTGGTGCGTCCACTAATTGTGCCGTTACCGATGTGTACACCTCCGCCAACGCCCCCGCCAGCGCGGCTTATTGTGTCGCCGACAGTGCCAGTCGTGGCTGTGATTGTGGATACTGTGGATATGTAGCTGCGCGTTGTTTGCGGCGATGGCGTGATAGTCACCGCGCCTCTGCCACCACCCTCGAGATGCACGGCGTCTTCGCCACCTCTACGCATATTCACCCAAGACAAACGATTTTGTTGTCTGCGCTCCATTGTTGCCGGATTGCTATCTGTCTGTGCGCCTCCCGTGCCACCGCTGCCCGATGCACCGATGGGTGTGTTGATGGAGTCTGCACCGATCACATAGATACTCGTCGCATTGGAGTCGGTGCGCATGCGCATGCGTTCGGGCGGCGGTGGAGTCGGCGGCACCACTGTGCTGCCGCTCAGCTGTCTACGGGTGGTGCTCATTGTCATCGGCATCGCTTGTTGGCGTTGAAGCTTTAAATGCTCATCGAGTGCTTCGTCGCTGGATCTGCCGCGATATGACGTCGAATTCATGCTGCTAAGGCGGACCACACTCCTATTATTTGTCACTTACAGCAAGTGTGTGAGTTGAAAACTATCACAATATTGGTAACCCTCGGAATTGACTACAGAATGACTTCTTTTGTCTGTATCCAATACAACTGAAATGTGAAAAGATAGAGGAGACTATAAGTATGAGATTAATAAAAATAATGTTAATGGTGCTCACTGATGAAATACGTGAAAATAAAGAGATGATTCATTGATTATTCAAGGAAGCATTTGTGCCTAAACTCCTAACTCTTTTTTTCAAATTCGCTTTGGTATTCACAACATTTGCCCATAAAACCAGTTTGTTTTCTTTCCAATCTCTTTTAAATTATTATTTCCATGAATTTCGCACAATTCGTATATATTTATGTAAGTATGTATGGGTGTATATATGTAGGTATGCACATATCACCAAAGATATTCAACGCGGCGAGTTTAGGATCTATATCTTATTTGATTTGTTGATAATCTCCAAGTGCTGTTGCTTAGCTCACTGATACGATGCTGATAATTAATCACATGTGGTCTCCTCTATGCACACACACACACACACAAGCAACAAAATGAGTCAGAGTCTTTGTTATCGACGCAACGCATGTTTATAGATCACTTGAATCCTCAGCCACAACAGCTGCTTATCTGCTTCCGCCGGCACTGGAATGCCGAATGCCAACAACTGCGGCGGTGACAGTGCTTTCTGAAAGAAAACTGTCTCTGAGTGCCCCATCACTTTTACTATCACGTTATTATCACTGTTTATCTTTTGATATGACCGCATGCATTGTGCTAGCTCACGGACGGACGGCTCAGAAGAATGTCAATATGTATGTATAAGTGTATAAGTGTATCAGTGTTTGCATTATGTCCACTTGTTTCACATGTAAATACAGGGGAGAGTTATCTGGAGAATTGTCTTGAGCGATTATTGACTTGTGTCGCCGTGAAAGAAGCCAATGGAGACGAGGCTGTTGAAAAGCATTCAGTAGCGCTTACAAATTGGATAATTATTATATGTTATAAATGCAATTTACTGCGTGTAATAAGTGAAATGTTTTCTTGTTTGCAGAAAAATAGTTAAGCTTTTACTTTCTCCTAAGACTTTCAATACACTATAGAAAAAATTAATTCAGCCCAAAATACCATACTTTCATCGATATTCTTCACCAATTTTAAATATTTATTGTTTGTGATAATCCATTTCGAGTTCTTCCCTTTTATAAAAACAAAAAAAAATATTGACTAATCTTTAAAATATAAGAAGCATCCACTTAAGCTTTACTTCAAGTTTAATGTAAACAGAAAACCGTTAGAAATGACAATCGATCAATCATTTCCAAATCTTCAATTTAGACAACACAAAAATCAATATTAATATTATATTAGAAAAAATCTGCTCGCATTGATATGCTAAAGGGTGGATTTAGAGTTTTGTTTAGCTTAATGCTAATGTAAAATTAAATTTGTGTTTCAACGCGAATGGAAACTCTAAATTAACTTAAACATTGATTTAATCCCGTTAAATACCATCTAGCGGTTTCATTTTCGATTTTATTTTCAAACTGATCTCACTCACTAGATCTCAAATAAGATTATACAAAACATTATACAGATTGACAACACTTAATGTCGCTATTAATCGACCAAAAGACCTCACTCAAATTCGAATTGATAAATGCACAGTGGTGCTTTAGCGTATAGATTGTTAGAAGTCTGATGAGTAGTGAGTTATGGATCTGGAAATTTTCAAATGTTTTTTGTGTAAAAATAACATCAAAGGATGAAGTATCGACTAATCGATTATGGTTTAGAAAGGAAGATAGTAGAAAACACTGGTCCACAAAGTTTAGACATATTATTTGTGGTGGAAACCGGGATTGATATAAATGCCCTTAACTTTTGGTTAAGCTGAAGACTATCTAATGGAGATTGTTAGTTAGTGTTTCTAGAAACAACATAAAAGTCTGGTAGAGAATAGTTAATCCCAAATAAGAGAGCAGTGAGAATGTTAATGTAATTAATTAATTCTATTTTTAGATAACTTGAATTCATTAAATTGTGTTTTGTAAATCCTCTTAAAAAATCTAGATTTTTTCACAAACTAAATAATGGGTGCAGTTTGTGTTCTCTTCTTATGTTTTGCCCTATAGAAATAGATACATGTTAATTCGTAAAAATAAAATTATTTAATTTCTTGACTTACATTTCAAATCTATCAGCGACTATATTCTTGCTTTGTTTCTGATAATAAAACCGATAAAATTGGTTTCCATGACACCCAAAACCGATACGAACCGATCGAACATCAAACCAATAATAACTGAATTCATGACACCTAACACATTTTTTTAGAGGTTTAAATTCTGATTCCGCCATTTATGGGATTCTACAGCACCCCTGTATTCAACTAAGAACAAATATAACGGGTACTCTGAAATAAAGGTAGTTGCAAACATAAGCAAAAGCACCCGTGAGTCAAGTCAAACCACTACCCATGAAAGCTATAAAAGTTGGAAGCTTATCAGCATCGTGTTTACGACAAATTGGCAAGTGAGAATAGTTTTTATATGTATCTGTGTGTATTCTATGCATGTGCATTTATAAAAATAGAAGCTTACTGTTTTAAGCCAAATAGTTCTAAACATACAGTTAGTTAACTGCTTTTAGCAGCAAAGTGAAGTGGAATTGCTGTGAATTGTGACTAATTGACGCCGCTAATGTGTTTGTATGTGTGTATGTATGAATATATGTTTATAACTAAAATGCGCTTGCTTTGCACATAAGTGCATATTTATATATTATATATATATATATATGACACCTCTATGTATGTATGCGAGTGCGAATATTTGCACAACCACGATTCTTATCAGCAAACACATCAACGTTGTATGTTTGTATGCATATTTAGACGTGTATTTGAGTGCGCGTTTAGAAAAGTTGTAAGAAGAAATGTGCAATAATCACTCTCAAGGCGCTCTGTGTCTACTCGTGCATCAATTGTACAATGTTATGTAATTATTTATCGTCAATTAACATGCCTAAACAACAACAACAATCATGCATGACGCGCAAGTACAGTAAACAGATATCGTCTAATATTTGACAGCTCTGTGATAATATTATTTCTTCTGTGCTCCACCGACATTGAGTGATGGCGGTCACGGCATCCAATGAAGAATAATAATGAGACAGACACTTGTACTGTTATTGCACTACAAACAGCTTCACGCGAATACATATTGATAAAGCGTATAAATAAACAGATCGTCATATCAATTGGGTAGAAATATTTGCTCTAGCTGAAACAACAAATTCTTTTGTGACACCAAAATTATAAAAATAAAAACAAATTAGGTCTTCAATTTATCGTATTCGTCACTTGCATGCGAAAAATCAGACAAATAAAGTTTTAATAATTGTTCAGACGTACATATTATATATGTATGCTAATCCCATAATACTTGTGTCATTCCTAATTAGAGGGAATTATCAGCACTTTGAGGGAGACGTTCAATTATACTTAGATGTGAACTTAAATGGTAATAAAATTGGATAGGAGACTTGATGTGCCTCCTCTCGGCTGGTGTTCTGTACTCATTGGTGTGAGTTTATATTTTAAGTCAATTAATGTGACGTCATCAGTAGCTGATATTATCGAACTGTGAAATGACTGGATATTCGTAGAATATAAAGAAGATAAAGAAGATTTCTTTTCAGTCTAGCCGAAAAATTAGAAATTGCGTAAATTTAAGTTTGTAGATATGTTAAGTAAAGCTAACAAAAATATAAGTACAAGTATTATAATTTATAGTAATGAGCAAAGAGAAATATGACAATAATAGCGCAACATTTTTTTTTGGACGAAGGGTTAATGCACTTGTCGCAGTCTTATTAAACATTAGTATTTAATGAGCTAAGCAATTTTTTAATAAAAAAGAAAGAGAATAATAATCCAATAATGAAGCCATGAACACTTGATTATTTATACTAAGTTTGTAAAGTGTCTGTATTATGTTCCCCCGTTATAAGTAAGAAACTTTTTCGTCATTCATTACGCCAGTCAACCAAGTGTAACCTAATTTAATTCAAAAAGCAATAATGAAACACACACTTGCTGTTGTTACAAAAGAACAAAGTCTTGAACGAAAATAATTACTTAAGCGTTAACAGGTAGACGCTCTTGACTGCGAGCAAAAAGTGGGTGCAACAACTGGAACATAAAAGTTCTTTTTTTACATACATTCACACATACACAGTACACTTGCACCACGTGATAGCCAGCTGCGAAGCTACACATGCTACTATAGCCAACTATAAATAGGTTAAAAACGTCCAGTTTCACGCCGCTGACTGACTTCTTACGAATGAACACTGGAATACAACCCTGTCCCCTATGTGTCTCTGCTCTTCGTTACTTGGAAAACCGCAAATAGTAGGGATATCGTATTACTTATCTACCAAATCTATTATACTATTAACTTATATAAATTGTAAGCATGTCGAGTTGTTTGTAAACACCGGACTCTGTCGTTTCGGTGCGACTTGTGCTCTGCGCACTCAAATTGAACGAATAGTTTGTTAAAAAGTTCTGCTAGACAATCGCACAACAAGTGTTCTGCCATATGCGCCACACAATGCCCGCCAAACGCAGTCGTGCGTAACCGAAATCGCCGTGTGACTGCCAGGGACAATGTCAAGTTGGAAACTCATTTGCAACAGCGAAAATCATACCGCAATACCTACAAGTAGTATAGTTGAAGTGAAAACAAACGACCGAAGAAAAATTGGCAGAAGAAAATCGCGTGCTTTACTCGCGAAAATATAGGAGAAAATATATTTGTATGTCATTTTATTCTATATTTAAGCTCTCTTATTTGTATTAAATATGCAAGAACATAGCTGTCCAGACGAACTCAGAACATGAGCGTATATGAACGAGCACTCCATTAAAGTACTATAATCACGCGAAACTTCCTATATATAATACATATTTTATAACACCACTGGTCTACTATACATTGTATGTAGAACCCATACGTCATGAAATCAAATTGAACTAATAGACAATCCTATAGTAAGAGGTGTTTTGGAGGTGATGAGATTGACGCAG